ATTCAATCAATGCTATTCCTGAGAGAGGATTGTCTCCTTATGCAACTGACTGTGTCAATAACACAGAGTGTACTGGACTGGAGTGTAACTTTACTGTTGGCCCTGTTCATTATAAAATTGAAACTGAAGTCCAGTCTTGTGCTAATCCGCCTGGTTTTATTTTTCTCATCAGGAATGTAGATACTAATTTGATAATATTTAATCAATACTTTGATTCATCGAAGAATACAAGCATCCCTTTTGGACAAGCATCAATTCCTTTGGGTGTCATGGTTCATCACAGGAACTATTCAATGATTATTTCTGTAAGTATTATGGTTATGTGATATCATTATTCTATATATTTTCATAAATAGATTTCAGTTACTACTCCTGCTAACACATTTTACCTTGTTCCTGAATCTCAAATTATTTTGGATAAAACTCATTGTGAATCAAACGTTATTCCTACTAGACCAACAGCTGTCCCAACTCCTACTCCTAAGTCTCCTACTGATCCTAAGATTTGTAACGCTTTAAAAAATATAGCGCAAAATCAACCACAGTGTTCTACAAATCCTGATTGCGATACAGTAATCTGTAATACTTTAAACTACGAAAGTCATTTTCAAGTTCTTCCTTGTCATAGTCCTCCTGGACTTCATGTCAGGGTATACGATGAAAACCGTGAATTAATCTATGATAACATTGTTACTAACTCGACTGAGGTTCCTTTATCTGAATCACTTGGTATTTCTTTGATGATTAATTTTCATAGCACCGATGTTGATACTTTAGAATTAGAGGTAATGTACATCTAACATGTTATTATTGCCAACCTTTCATAAATACATGTAGGTAAACCTTGTTACCAACATTGGTACTATTCCAGTTGTCCCTAAAACTCCAATTTCATATGACCATTGTTTATGCCTTAAAGATGCAAGTAGCTGTTCAGATGGTATCTTTTCAACAGTTTTTCCGACATCTTCCAGTACCCCAACTACAAGAAAAAATAAAATTGGTATGCGCTCTTATTGTTCATGTGCATGTACAATTTTACCCACTTTTAGACTGTCACTCGAATACTTATTGCTCGGGGGGCCTATGTGTTTTTGGTTTTATTTTAAAATTAGTGCAAGAACCTATTTACATGTAGAACATTTTAGACTGCCACTAGACTAGGATTTAGGCTGCATTTAGACAACAATGCTACAGAGAAGAAAATTCATAACACTTTCAAGTCCTTTTTTTGTTCTTATAATGGCTTATTTGTAAATGCAAGTATGATTAGGTACAGAACAATATTGATGGTACTGCATTGATAAAGTTAAAAATAACGGGTGGTGCCTACTTGAATTCAATTGAATCTGACTTTTATATCAGTTTTTTGTAGACACGTGAAACTAATTCAGTGAAATCATTTTATGAGAATGCATGTACATGTAGCTATTGTATAAAAATTTAAGTAGAAAAAGTACACATTCTTGAAAGACTTGAATGGTCAATTGTTGCTATTCTACAAATAGTAACTAGTGAAGGAGTACATCAAAGTTGTCATTTAGCCTCTCACTATAGATACTATTGTGATAATGTATATGCTAATGATTACATTATGCTGTTAATCCCTGATACAAGTACATTGTGTACATGTACATGTCCATCCCTGATACTAGTGCATGTTTATATTAGTACACATACAATCTAAAACATGTGTACAGGTATGGTAGTACAAAAATTATTGAGCTTGGGGGCAGTAGGTTAGCAAGCAATTAATTTAGTCTGTCTATGTGTAATTTGTAACATGCCCTGTATGTGTGACGTTTCTAATATTGGTAGATTTTGTGACTCACATTAGAATTATATGGTGTAGGTGACTAAAACAACTTTAATTTATTGCCAGAATTTAAGGATAGTTACATGCCTGAAATCTTGCTAAAATACATGTGTATGTCATGTTTTAAAATGGCAGTAATTTGGGTTAGAACATTTACGATTTTCATTGTTTTTTATACAATAGGATATGTCCTTGTCATTGAAATAGTGTCTCCTATTGTTTTCGTGTTTGCTGTCATCATTATATCAGCTGTGATTTTGATATGCTGCATTATTATTTTAAAGAAAAAACGATCAAGCCAAATCTCGTTCCACCGTTTGTCAGTTCAAGCTGATGATGATGACAATGCTGATTTGTAAAGAAACTTATTATCACATTCATAATTAATTATTATTCATTCATCATTACAATTTATTAATCATTCTTTTATTACATATTTGCATGCATAATTTACTGCTGCTTAATTCTTGTCAGATGTTGCTTTATTTTTGATGTTGTGCAATAAAATTTTACAAGTAGCAACAGTTGATACATTTGTAATTGTGAACTTACTTGTTTTCTGCATTTAGTCATTTTGTGTACCTTGCATGTACATTTATTTCATATAAGTGATTCATGATATTGTTACATGTATGTGATCATTATTGATTATTAATTTGTTCATGCAATGTACAAGTAGACAATGTGCATCTATTTTTCTAAAGAATTACTACAAAATTGATAATTAACAATTACGCAAGCATGTAAAAACTAGTCTGAGATTTGCGTTTATTTATACAAATGTATCTGATTCACAATGTATGTTCATTATCAATACTGAAGTCAAAAATCATGGACTCTCTTCTTGTAATAATACGTGATGGTGAGTACTGTGTTTCATCTCTGCTTTTATCTTCCATCAGTTCAAACTCCTCCCAGGATCTAGCTCTGTTCTTAGAAAACTTCTTGCTTATAACTGCATGGCATTTCTTAATATATACATGGACAAGGACTGTAATGTTGAAAGTAATGAAGCACAAACTAACTGATGTTGCAGTAATCGTAAGTGAAATCTCTTCATTCAATCCCATGTTACTAGAAAGCAAATTGAGTAATGTAACTAGTCCAAGATTAAAAAAATAAAAAGATTCCAGAAAATTTAGAATATTGTAGCGATATATACCTCTTGACAGATACAGTGCAACTGAAGAAATGAAGATAATTATGTAATTGTTAACTTGAGGTATAGTGGTTGTAGTATATGAGAACACTGGT